TTTTATTAAATCTTTAAAAGGAATGCATTTCATTGTATGCTTGGATTATGGCTTTGGAATAAATAGTTTTATATTTTTAAAAAGTGTGACTTTCATACAGATATAAAAATGAACAGATGTTAAAAATTTCAACACATTCAATGAAGGAAGCAGACAGATGTTATAACCATTTAGAAAAAGAAGTTAAGAAGCACAAATTTATATGGCATAAAAGAATGTTGAAATTATTATTTTTTATGCACTACAATTTCTTTATATAATCAGTCATTGTTGGACATTTAGGTGGATTCCATGTCTTTGCTAATATGAATAGGTCTGCAGTAGAACACATGTGTACATGTATCTCAATAGTAGAATGACTTATTCTATGGATATATACCCAATAATGGATATATACCCAATAATGGGATTCTATGGATATATACCCAATAATGGGATTGCTGGATTGAATGGTAGTTATGTTTTTAGGTCTTTGAGGAATTGCCACACTGTTTTTCACAGTGACTGAACTAATTTATGCTCCCAGTAACAGTGTATAAGTGTTCCCTTTTCTCTGCAACCTTACTAGTGTCTGTTATTTTTTGACTTTTTAGTAATAGCCATTCTGACTGGTATAAGATGGTTTCTTATTGTAGTTTTGATTTGCATTTTTCTTTTTTATTTTTTTTTCAGTGGGACGGGAGAATCACAAGGAATCAGGTGTTCAGAGGAATGTATTGAGTAGAGGTGAGGAACTAGGATGTTGAAAAGTAAAAAAAAGGAGAGAAGGAGGGAAGAAAGAGAAAGAAAAAGAGGGAGAGAGAACAGGAATATTGCTTCATTCTAAAAATGGGTATTAATAATGGCTGATCAATATTATGCATATTTAAAATGGAGAACTCTATAAATACTTATTGAGTTTACTTGTTCCGGATCTGAGTTGAAGTCCTGGATATCCTTATTAATTTTCTGTCTCGTTGAGTCTAAATCTCATTATGGGTCTTATGTATCTGGGTATTAAGATCTCTTATTGTTGCATTGATCCTTTTACCACTGTATCTTTGTTGCTTTGAAATCTATTTTATCAAATGTGAGAATTGCAACTCCTGCTTTTTGTTTATTTAGGTTTGCTCTCCATTTGGTTGGTAAATTTTTCTCCAACCCTTTGTTTTGAGTCTTTGTGTATCTTTGGATATACCATTAGGTTTTGGCTGTATCTTTTGATTGGGGGATTTAGTAGATTTAAATTTAGGGTTACTGCCATTTGATGTTAACTGGCTATTTTATCCATTCGTTGATGTAAATTCTGCTTTATGTCGATGCTCTTTACTTTTTGGTATATTTTTAGAAAGGCTCATACTGGTTGTTCCTTTCTATGTATAATGCTTCTTTCAGAAGTTCTTGTAAAGCAGGCCTGGTGGTAATAAAAATCTCTGAGTACTTGCTTGTTCATAAAAGATTTTATTTTTCCTTCAATTGTGAAGCTTAGTTTGGCAGGATATGACGTTCTAGGCTGAAAGTTCTGTTCTTTAAGTATGTTGAATATTGGCCCCCACTCTCTTCTGGCTTGTAGGGTAGATCTTGCTGGCTTGTAGACTTACAGCAGTAAGTCTAATAGTCTTCCCTTTATGGGTAACCTGGCCTTTCTCTCTGGCTGCCCTTAGTATTTTCTCCTTCGTTTCGATCCTGGTGAATCTAACGATTATGGGCCTTGGGGTTGCTCTTCTTGAGGAATATCTTTGTGGTGTTCTCTGTATTACCTGGGGTTGAATAGTGTCCTGCTTTGCTAGATTGGGACAATGGCACATGAAAGCAACTGTTTTTCCCCTTGGGGATAGAGGTGGGGAGGAGAGAAGTCAATAGAGTTTGTGGCAGATAGGACAGAATTTGTGTGACTATCAGGTAGGTTCAACACAGAGTTGTAAAAGTAGCTCCCATGAAATCAGATCACCAGAGAAAGGACATATAATTGCATAGATTTCCAAATAGGGCCTGGATGTGAATCTTAGACTTTCCGACACCAAATTCAGGCTTGTTTCACTCTACCACATTGTGCCAGCTTCTGAAAAGTGTACTCTTTTGTCACCTTAAGTCAAAGAAAGTTACGAAAAAGAGAAAAAAAAAAAGGAAATGAAAGCATAAAAGGTAAACTGGTCAGAGGTTTTCTGCTATTTCCCCTTACTGAGGCACAACTCCTGAAATGAAGCCAGCTGCAGAACTTGCTCAAATGCATGTTGCTTCAATTGCAGTTGGAATAGCAGCTTGAACTGAGATGGAAATTAAACACCTGCTTCTAAACCCCAACAGGAAACTCCTAAACAGGGTCAAAGACCATCTGTCTTAGTCAGCTCAGGCTACCATGACGAGATACCATAGACTCAGTGCAAACAATAGATTTTATTCATTCATTCATTCATTCATTCATTTATTCATCAATTTTCGCACAGTTCTGGAAGCTGAAAGTCCAAGATCAGGATGTCGCAAGGTTGGGTTCTGGTAAGAACTCTTTTTAGCAGCCATCTTTTCACCTACTTCCTATGTCCTTACATGGGAAAGAGAAAGTGAAAGCTCTCTGGTACCTCTTTTTATAATAGCACTAATCACACCATGAGGGCCCCATGTTCATAATCTCATCTAAATCTGGAATCTCCCAAAGGCCCCATCTCTAAAGGTCATAAGGGTTAGAACTTCAATATTTGAATTTGCGAAGGGAAATAGTTCTGTATATAGCAATGCCAATATGTGAACTAACGGGCTTAAGCCAGGGACCTGAGATGGTCACAATTATGGGCAAGAAGATATTCCATGCAAAATAATGAAATTATAGCAGTTTACACAATGTTACGGTTTATGTTTCTGAATGTTCCATACTAGAAACAAATAGAAAGGGACCATGTCCTCAAAGTGTGTGTGTGTGTGTAAGTGTGTGCGTTTATCAATTTTATGTGATAAAATTTATAGCCTTACTAGGCTGAAGAAAGGAGAACATTAGCAAAAAATGATAGCAGCATTAATACATTTTCTCACTAATAATGATCTAAAATGTGGCAATTCAAAAGGAACAAATAAATTGTTTCAGCGTTGACTGTCACAGAATCTAGGGCATCATCAAACTTTGGTTCCTGTGGGCTTTTTACTTGGAAAGAATGCCGTCTCTCTCTCTTTTTACCTTAGCTTTATTCTCCAAACATTTTAAAATTTCATTTGTGGAGTATATTTTGCTCATAAGCTAAGTAGCTTACCAAAAAAACAATACATTTCTTTCTTTGTACTAGATTGTTAAATACAGCCTCTTTACAAGAGGCTTTATTGTTTTGTTGTTGCTGTTTTTATTTTTATTTAAAAAATTTTTTTTTATTTTTTATTTCCATAGGTATTTGGGGAACAGGTGGTATTTGGTTTCATGAGTAAGTTCTTTAGTGATGATTTATGAGTTTTTTTTTAACTTTAAAAAAATTTTTATTTCTTTTCAGAATCTTTTTCAGTTTACATTTGTTTGGCACAAGTAAAAATAACAGGGCTTATTCAATAACAAATGTCTCTAAGGAATAAACATTAAGACACCCAAATTAGGGTCTAAATAAAGGAAAAACAAAACATGAAGAATACATAAAGAAACGAGGAAGTGAGAATACAGATGATAGACCTAAGAGATTTGTCTTAAGTTACGTTTATGCTACAGGGAGAGGGGAGGTGATCTGTCAACAAGGTGAAAGAATAAAGCAATTACATAAAGAAATGTAGGTTTATATATGATGGTATTGGCTTTGCAGGTTTGCAGGAACCACAGCACAGGCGAGACACTCGCATGATGCAAATTACTCATGTGGACAAACAATAGATAGGCACATATCACAAGAGATCTTAACAAAATCTATTTAGCAACAATTTTCTAGTAATACAGTATAAATAATCATAATCCTTCAGTGACTTGTATCCTACCGAGTCTCAGTCCTGGTTTCTGACAGCCAGCACCTTAATGAATTACTAAGGACAGCAGGAAGCAGCCACCAGAAGATGCTGCTTGTGAAAGTTACCTTCCTGAAAACACTTTGATCGTGTCACTTCCCTAATTACAAACTTTTACTGGCCCTTCTTTGACATTGACAATGTCCTGAACTCCATAAGAGGGAAAAAGTTGTCCTTTACTAAGTAGCCCAGCCCATCTCAGATATTCTCCCCTAAAAACTCTGCTCACATTAAGCTCACTGTCACATTAACTTCAACACCTGTGCACCTTTGCATAAGCTGTTCTCTTTACTTAGAACGCTCTCCTTCCTCTTTGTCTTCTTAATAAAATGGGCTATTGCAACATGACAACTTACCACTGCCAATTTCATCCAGATTGCTTAAAAAAGTTGTTTGTTGAAGGAGCTATACAAATTAAACTCAGGAAATATGTTGCAATATATCTGCATTTATCCATTCATTCTTTTGAAAACCTTAATCTTATTTATGTCTATTTTTGTACAGGCAGGCTTGATTAAATTCAACATGTTGTTCTAAAGATTTTTTTTGTCCTTGATTAGCTTAAATAAAATCATTGGCAATCAATCCTCTCATTTTCAAGTCTCAACACAAGTATCATCTAGTCTCCTTTACTAGTAATTCCATAGATCTTCATTCATACTTTGGGTAAAGCATTCACAATGTGATACATAATTGATCTGTTTGCATATCTGCGTCTTTCAGGCTGGATAGAGATTCCTGTATTCACCTTTGTATCCTCAGATCTAACACAGGGTCTCATACATAATTGTTGCTCAATACATGATATCTTTAGATTCAAACTCCACTCCAGTGAAATTGGACACTACACAATTTGCTTTTAATCATTCATTTAATCTTTCAACTAAAATAAACTGAGCACATTCTATGTGTCAGACATTGGGAATACAAAGACTAATAATATATTGTACCTACCTAGTTCTAACATCCAGAAAAAAGAAGTAATCTTATACCTTCCATGTGAGAGGGTTTTCTAAGACATTCATGAGAATTTGATTTAAAAAATAGGAAAATAAGGGTTGTATCTCTTTATTAGTCTTACACAGGAAACTACTTCACAGACTGTTTCAAAGAGAAATGCAGTACCTCATATAGTCAGAACAGAGTTTGACAGCTGAAACACAAAGAAACTGTTCAACATCTACTATATAACTGGCAAGCTCTGTGTACAATGCTGTAAATGTAAAAACAAGACAAAATATTTGTCATTATGTAAACTTGCTGTGCTTGGGAAAAAGTATACACCCATGAAACTGTTACCACAATCAATGCCATAAACTAAACCAACACTTCCAAAGGTTTCTTCCTCCTCCATTTTTGTTATTATTTTTTTCTTTTTTCGTAAGAGCATTTAACATAAGCTCTACCATCTTAGCAAATTTTAAAATATACAATATTGTTATACATTACAATGAATAATGTAATGTACAAAGGCTCCATTTTGTACAGTAGATCTCCAAAATCTACTCATCCTACATGAATGAAACTTTGCAACCTTTGACCAACATCACCCCATTCTCCCATCCGCGGTCCCTGACAACTGCCATTCTATTCTCTGCTTCTATTAGTTCGACAATTTTAGATTTTATATATAAGTGAGATCATGCAGTGTTTATCTTTATGTGTCTGGGTTATTTCACTTAGTATACTGTCTTCCAGGTCCATCCATATTATCACTGATGGGAGAAATTCCTCCTTTTTATGGGCTGAATAATATCCTGGTGTGTTTATGTTTGTGTATCTATATCTACATCTATATATATGTGGGGGTGTATATCTATCTATCTCTGTCTGTCTATCCATCTATCTAATGTTTTCCTTGTCCATTCATTTGTCAATGGATACAGGATGTTTCCATATCTTGGCTACTGTGAATAATGCTGTAACAAATATGGAAGGGTGGATATCTCTTTAAAATACTGACTTTATTTACTTTGGATATATATCCAGAAGTGGGTGTGTGCTGGGCATTTTTATATTCCTATAAATATAATTGAGCATTGTTCTGAGATGCAGCTAAATTATGCAAAGAAGTTTGATGTGCGGGAATCTCGCTTTTGTGATTTGGTAGGCATACAGAAGCAGTGCTAGGTAAAGGTATAATTATTTCCCACTACTGAGACAAGGCCTCCTTGAGTACTCTACACAGTGCCCCATGAATTATGAAAAGATCTACTTTGATGAAAATATGAACTATTTTCAGCCTTTGTGAATGTCAGGCACTGTTCTTTCTGATTCATTCAGGTGATGTTTTTCCTGGCCTCAGGTAGTTTTCTCACATGTGAGCACTGACTGATACTCTGCTTAATGCTCAGGGGTTGTTTGCTGCCTATTTCCTGGATTCTTTTTTGGTGCAACTCTCTTTTTGTAAATAAACTTCCTGTGAACTCTAGCTACTCTGGCTTCCTTGGATCCTTAGTTCCCTGTCCTCAACCTAGGGAATCTGCTGGAATCTACCAGTGATCTCCATCCCTGTGACATGACCTGAAAATGCTCTTACGGAAGTAATCTGGGGCAACCATAATGTTCGTCTTGCTTGTTTCCTGTCTCTGTGGTATCATTCTCCTACACTGCCCAATAGCTACTCTCCAGGAAACCATTGTTTCCTATATTTTGCTGGATTTTTAAATTTATTTCAAATGATAAATCCATTCTTGTTTTTCCATTTTGCCAGAAAGCAGAAGTCACTATCACACAATTTTGAAGCAAAACAAATAACAAAAGAAAACTTGTTTATGGAAATCTTATCCCTTTATAGATTTTTAGAAACGTTTTCTATTCAACATATTGCCATGGTATGAATGTTTGTGTACTCCTCAAATCTATATGTTAGAATGCTCATTCTCACAGTGATAGTATTAGGAAGTAGGGCCTTGTGAGAATACTGCTAATTGCCTTCTAGCAACACTGCCATTTGAAAGACAATAATAGCAACAACAATAATAAATGGATATTGAATACTTGCCATAATAAAATGTAATCAGACTCATAAATCCAGCTGAGAGACTAGGTGATTTAGTGTCTACTTAATAAAAAAGAGCTGACTAGTAATAATATTAGTTAATGCTAAAAACATACATGATACACCAGGCACTATTGTAATTCTTGACATATATTTACTCATATGATCTACTATAATTAGTCTATGGGAAAGTTCTGTTTCTATATTCATTTCACAGCTGGGGGTAACCTAGGCATTCTCCAAAGTCTCTCATCTAGTAAATGGCAGAACCAAATTTGAGCCCAGCATTGTTATTCCAGAGTCCCCCCTCTTATACTAACCTCTCTCAATTAGCCTTTAAATTTGTTTTAAAATTAAAGCCAGGGATTATCACTGCTCTGTGCGTGTAGGAGTTCAATTTTTTCAGAAGATGCAAAGCAAATTTCTGAACTATCTTTGCAGTAGTGCTCATATATGCATGCAGGGAGAATACTGGGTATAACCCAATATTCTGTCATTAAGTTCTCCGTCTCCGTTTTAGGGTAGAAATGATATTGCAAAATGCTGAGTTGTGGATTGTCCTTTTAGTGCTGTCTGATAATCTAAATGTTTTATATCTATAGCATCCAAGAGCCAGTAGACATACATGGACATTGAACCCTTGAAATGTGAATAACATAACTGAGAAATGAAAACTTTAATTTTAGTTAACTTAAATTTAAATAAAACAGTCACAAGTGGTTAAAAGTCACTGTATTGAGCAGAGCAGATCTATGATGGAGAAGTTTTCACTTGTCATGACAAAGGGCAACACAAAAAAGCATCTGTGAGATACTAATTAAAACCTATGAGAACCAAAATAAAGCTCTTCTAGCCACTCTCTGTGATTTCATTCCACCCACTCTTCCCCTTCCCTCTTCCCTGCCGGGCAAAACACACATAACACACAGAGACACAGACTCTCTCTCTCTCTCTCTCTCTCTGTCTCTCTCTCTGTCTGGTTTTCTCTATCTGGTTTTCTCTGCCTGAAATGCCCCTCCCCTCTAGCCTTGCAAATGTCTCCTTCCTTCTCAAAATGTCATCTTTCCTTTTTTGCTTTTCTGAATCCTCTTAACAAAATTGATTGTTCCTGTGTTCCTAGGTGTGATGGTTAATTGTATGTGTCAACTCTACTGTGCCATGGTGCGCTCAGAGTAAACATTAATTCTGGCTGCGTCCATGGGGGTATTTCCACATGAGGTACGCATTTCAATCAGTGGACTCCATAAAGTAGATGATTCTCACTGGTATAGGCTGGCATCATCTAACCTGTTGAAGGCTTAAATAGAAGGAAAAAAGTGGAGAAAGGAGGAATTTTTCCCTTTTGCTTCTTGCCTGCTTGCCTGAGCTGAGACATCAGTCTTCTGTGCTTGAACTGAGATTTACATCTTCCACTCCCCTGGTTGTCAGGCATTCAGAATTGGACTATAATTACACCACTGGCTTTACTGGGTCTCCAGCTTGCAGATTATAGGACTTTTCAGCCTCCGTAATTGCAAAAGCCAATTCCTCACAATCTAATACACTAGCTATAAACGACCTCTGTGATTTAAAATTAACTGTTTATCAACTGAGGATGGATTGCTAGAGTAAAGAAAGACAGAGAGAGAGACCAGGGACTAGAAGACCACAATCCAAACTGATTTCACAGAACTGCACAAGGACATGAAATGTCCCTGGTAGCATGTCAACCAATTATGTACTGTAACAATCTCAGCTTTGCTCCAATTATTCAAAAGATATTGAGTACATATTACTTTTGACAGGTTGCCATATTTCCCTCAGTTTAGCAATAAGAATTTGTGTTAGAAATGCACCTCATCATCTTGTGTAAAACATAGAACTGCCAGTTTGGGGCTTTTTAGTAGAAAACAATGTCATACAGGATACTGATATGACTCCTGTGAATGAGCTGACTTCAGGAGCCCAACTTTACTGTGATACTATTCAATATGCACAAGGTATCCCCACAGTTTGCAAGTATCCCCACAGTTTCTTGGAAGGGGCTCTTCCAAGAAAAATGTAATGTCTCTCATTACTAATGGGACAGTCAAGATGCACTCCTCATATAAAAAGAACTTGCTATTCACCTGGAGGAGTGCAGTCAGTTGAGAGCCTCCTGCTCTAGTGCCCTCAGAAGACTAGATATGCCTGAATATGGTGTACCAGGGCCTGGCTTCTGTCCCTTATGCAGAGTTCCTCCTCTGTCACTGCTTGCAAGAAGAGCTCTCTTCTGGTTGGCTGAGGTTTTGTCAGTACTATACTTAATGCCCTTTGAGGCTAGACCTGGCCAATTCTTCTTTCCTACTCTACCTTTCTACAGGGGTCAGACTTATATCACAGTAGTCTGAGTCTTTCTTTGTCTATTCCTGCTTCCTTTTCCTCTTTATCTTTCACTGAGATTACTCTTGTTAAACTTCTTGCTCTTCTAATTATATTTTGGTGTCTGTTTCCCAGGAGACATAAACTGATACAATTAGATCAAATTTTAGAAACAGGAATCAGGCCTATAGAAGCACAGGACTTACCTCCATGGCCTCTCCATCTGCTTCTAGGCTGAATCAGCAAGAGAAACATATATTGTTTCTTATTTTTTATTCATTTTTACTTTAAAAGTTGGTCTTCTGTAGAACTGTGTTCCAGAAACAGAAATAGGTTCAGCTACTGTCAAGAACTTTTTTCCCTACTTGATCCATAAAGTAAAAGAAGTAACAGGTTACTGTAACTGGCAAAGTGGGATTACCTAGTTTTGCTATGCCAGTAAGAATGAATTAAGACATTTTTTTCCAATAGGAACATACACAAATATAAATCCATAAAAATAATTTTTCTATTGCCTAAAAAAGATCTATGATTCGATTTCTTAACATATATGCTTCCCACTAGACCAAACACAAATTTGAAAGGAAAAAAATATTCTGGAATTGGTTCTTTTTTGAAAACTATATGAAATATTTACACTTAGGCCAATCATAAGAAAAACCCTAAATTCAAATGCAGAATTCTCTAAATTCTTATGCTTATTGTAGATGCAACGAGAACATTCTGATATTCAGATGTTTGGCTTTGTAGAATGATAATACCTCAATTAAGTCTAACCACCCTGTGGAAATTTAGATTATACTTGGTAGCAAATCATAATGCTGTGAAGACATTATAAAATCTATAAAGCTATATGACTTATTCACATATTAAAATAAGTAAGAAATCAGTTCAAACTCCTTTTCTAAAAGGAACTCTAGAGGTTGTTTTTAAGCCTCTACCAGCAGACTTTATTGTTTTAAAGCTATTTCTCAGCATTTAATGGAAAAAATGAAAAACAGAGTTACCTGTATTGCTCACAAATTACCTCTAAATTATTTTGTTTATTTTTAAAGGTGAAATCCCTCCTCAAATAACAAATATCCATCACATATATCTTTATCACCCCTGAGAGGATGTAAATAAATATTGGCAGATTATAAAGACTTGTTGATGACAATTTAGACACTAATAACTCCAAGACAGACCTAAAAGTTCTGCAACATGACCAGATGAAGTGGTGAAAGACCAAAAGTCAAAGTGAGATGCTAGGGAGAGATCCCAGGACACCTGGGTGCTAAACCTGCCTCTGCCATGTTGGAGGAGTTCTTGACCTTTCCAGGCCTATTTCCTCACTCAGACTGTGAGAGGACAGGTTTTGAGGATGTCTAAGCTTCATTCAATTAGCAAGGCTACTTCCCTTGGATAAGAAGAACCAGGAGTGAAACATAAATATTTCCAAGCTATAAAGTTGGAGCATAAAAAAAAACCTAACCAGTCTTTCCCTCCATCTTCTCACAGAAGATTGATTTAGAAAAATTTAACCATCAAGTACAAATGAAAAGATGTTTAACTAGTTATAAAACCTGCAAGTGTGATGATTGAAAGCAAATAGTTGAACAAAAATTGGGATGCTTTGTGCCCTTCTCAGTCTTTAATCTGCCCTTACACATCAGGTTCAGGGCCTCCATGAGAGGGGTCATTAAAGACCTAGGGATTACAACAGAAGGTTTTTAGTAAGAAGGCTCTCAGTTTTTCCCTACAACATGCTTGCATGCACATGCTGGTCAAACAAATCAAGCCCATTTGACTAAACAGAATGTTTCTCTTCTTCTTCTTCTTTTTTTTTTTTTTGAGACATACTCTTGCTTTGTTGCCCAGGCTTGGGTGCAGTGGTACAATCTTAGCTCATTGCAACCTCCACCTCCTGGGTTCAAGCAATTCTCCTGTCTCTATCTCCCATGTAGCTGGGACTACACGTGCATGACACCATGCCCAAACAATTTTTTTTTATTTTTAGTAGAGACAGGGTTTCACCATACCGGTCAGGCTGGTCTCAAACTCCTGACCTCAGATGATCCACCTACCTCTGCCTCCCAAAGTGCTGGGATTACAGGCGTGAGTTACCGTGCCTGGCCCAGAATGTTTATCTTTTGAGCTACTATTTTAAATATATAGGATAGAACTTTTCCATTTCTAAGACCACCAAATAGTGTACTCTTTTAATCTAGAAGACATTATCACTGTCATTGTTGATATAGCATCTATCAGTTACAATACTGATTTTCAAAAGTCAAACCCATGTTGCAATCATTACACAAGAAAGGACTTGAGGATAGAAAACACTAAAGATGTCGAATATTATCTCTGAAGAAGCCAAGATTAAACTTTTTATGTCGTATTCATTTTAGTCAATTTCTAAGTCTTTAATAATAAGTTGGGAGTGTCCTCATTAATCTAGGTCTGATGACATGCACAAAGCCATATTAGTAAAGGGAACAAATAAGAAGACTGGCAATCAAAACATAATAAAGCAAGTGCCATAATAGAAGAAATCCCAAAATCCAGTTTGAGGAGATGAAGAAAGCAGGATATGAATGGGAACCCGAACAATGAGGGGAGTAGCTAGATTTTGGTGAGATTTGGGGGAAAGGGAGAACACAGGGTCAGAACAGTATTTTTAAAGATTCCAGAAGCATGAAAGACCAGATAGTATTTAAGACTAAGTATAGAGTTTGGGAGAATGGGAGCAGATAATGGCGAATGGAAAGGCTGGAGAGGCAAGTGGGACCACATCATGATGGAAGGACATGTTGAACCTCCATTTCCAAACACTTTTCACCTACATTCTGAATCTTCATTTTATCTCCACAATAAACATGCTTAGAAAGCATACTGTCATTTTCTTTTTTTAAGACAGAACCTCATTCTGTCACCCAGGCTAGAGTGCGGTGACATGATCATAGCTCACTGTAATCTCAGACTCCTTGGTTCAAGTGATAGATCCTCTCACCTCAGCCTCCTGAGTAGCTAGGACTACTGGCATGTGCCATTACACCCAGCTATTCTTTTTATAAATTTTTTGTAGAGATGGGGTCTTGCTATGTTGATTAGTTTGTATTGACATTTTAATAAAAGGGAATGAAGGCTCAGAGTAAAGTGGTTTGTAACATTTCTTTAACAAATGTGCCCTATATTCTACGCATAAGACTGTCTCCTGTATCCTAAAGTGTTAAAAGGTGTATGGAGGAGGAATGTTGATAGCAAGTGTTCTCTTGCCATTCATTCTGTAATTCACAAGTAACTCCTAAGCCACAGACTTCCACATCCATCTACATCACCCATTAGAAAATTCATCCATGGCTTTTATAGGATTTAAGCCTTGGACTGATTCCCTAGGGGGTCGCTGGCAGAAATAAAAAGTGACTCATTGGACAGAATTAGTATCCTTGGATTCTTGCTTCTATTTTTAAAGGTATTAGATCCAGAGAATTCGAATTATTAATGACAAACTTCATGGGTAAGTTAACCAAGTAAGAATGACAAACAAAATTTTCCCTGGAGTATAAACTGCACAGTCACCAACAACTTGGCAAGATTAGGAGAAAATTTGTACAACAGTTGAGTAATGTGGTGACTTGGCTGTCCTCTCTATATGAGTGACTTGTCACTGGCTATGAGATCTAAGCTAAATCTAGATAGAAGGGGATTTTAAGTAATATCAAGTTGATACTTGGACTCTGACTGGATCTTAGCATTTATTTCTCATTTGTCCAAAATTCATTTTTTCAGCCAGATGAAACAATGCTCAAGATATTGAAAGTCAGTATGTGTTGATAGCAGGATTCCTAATTTTTGATCAAGTAAAATCCATGTTTTCATGTCTTCTCAATTCTTCCCAGAAACTCTTGATTTGGGAAGCATAAACAGTATTGAAAATGATGAGTTAAAAAACATTTATCCAGATACTCAGTTTTGTGGAGATTTCTTACAGTAATCTGTACTACATGGCATAGTTCAAATACATAACAGTTTTGCTATTGGAAATCTCGTAAGCTTCCCATCTAGACAAGGTTTTGGAAATCATATTATGTACTAGGCAAAATATGATCATATGAACTACATTTTAATTAAAGATTAATGGGCACATTAGAACTTTCTCAAAGTTAGGCTAGAAATATATCTTAAATTACCTTAAGCAAACAGACAGAAAGGAGGAAACCTCGTCTTAAGTAAGTGGGTCAGGTACGAACAGATTGAGGAGACCATGCAATGTCATCAGGCTTTCTTCTTCACCTCTGGATCTGCTTGCCTTGATGTGCTCTTCATTCATAGGTCGATATGGTTAGATTTTGGGTCCCTACCCAAATTTCATCTTGAATTGTAATCCCCATGTGTCAAGAGAGAGACCAGGTGGAGGTAGCTGAATCATGGGTGTGGTTTTCCCCATGATGTTCTTGTGATAGTGATGAGTTCTCAGGATATCTGATGGTTTTATAAGGTGCTCTTCCCCCTTCACTTAGCATTTCTTCCTGCTGCCTTTGAAAGAAGGTGCCTTCCTTCCCCTTTGGCTTCCACTATTATTGTAAGGTTCCTGAGGTCTCCCCAGCCATGCTGAACTGTAGTCAATTAAGCCTCTTTCCTTTACAAATTACCCAGTATCGGGCAGTTTGTTACAGCAGTGTGAAAACTGATTAATACATAGATTTTCCAAGTCTTGGCAAAACAGTGCTTCTGAGCTCCATTATTCTAACAGCTGCAGATTCTAGTGAAAGTGAACACCACTCATCCTGGCACTTAGAAATACAACCTGATTTGAGCTACGTGCCCATCCTTGATCATAGTTTGCAGAGGGAATAATGAGCATTTGACTGACCTTTGATTGACCCTGAATTTAGTTGACCTTGAAGTAGGAAATGGGTTGTTTCTCCAGAAGGAAAAAGTGCAGAGCAAGTAAAAATAAATAAATACATAGCTTACAGATGTCTTCCACACAGGCAAATCAAATACAGAAAATCTTTCCACAGGCAAATCAAATACAGAAAACCTTTCTGTTTTGGTAGCCAAAATAGATAAGCATCTTTAGAAAACACATTTTTGCAATATACTCTACATATTTGAAGAATATATTATTATGCTATTAGAAGGAAAAAGATCATCTTGCCCTTCTACCAACAAAAATTGCTTAAAATCACATTTTTTTTCCCCAGTAACTAAACTATTAAAATACATTTTTAATGAACTTAGTTACTTTAAGTTGAAGTAATTATGAGTTAACATATACTCTGCAGTGAAAACAAAGACAAAAAACTTTGCTCATAATATATCTTAATGGAAGTTAATTAGCTGACACAGCGGCAAAGAAAACGAATAAGAAACAGAATGATATTTAGGCAACTAACTAAATTAAAAAGCAGGTCTCTGTTTCTGGAACCTGTCATTGTGCTATATGTCCCCAAACCCTCACCCTTATTGCTAAAAATCCCTAGTATCATTCAAAACTTTCTTTACCTCAGATACTTTTAATAAAATGTTGACAAATTCATCTCTGTACACAACTTAGGAAAAAAAACTCTCTATTCCATTGACTGTTCAATAAATAGATGTTTACTTGTAATCTGTTGTTCTGATAGCTGACTTTGGGATTTGAGGCAGGGAAAAAGCAGGCAGGGGTAGCGGGAGGATGGAGAAGAGGCTGTGAAGATAGGGAACAGTGTTTCATGTTAGACCTTAAAAACAAAAGAAAGGAATTCTGAAAGCTGGCACAGTATCACATTATAAACAAAATGCCTTCCCAAGTAGATTATATACAAGGCATTTCACAAGTTAAACAATTCTCCTACTGCCATGTTTGTGAAAGAGCAAAGACTAAAAAAGGAAACAGTCTACCTTCTTTCTCAACTGGTTAAGGCGATATTCTCAGAATCTTTGAGGCTGAATCTTTCTCATATGAGTTGATTCCATAACATTCTCTCTAATTCCTATTCATTCTAGAAGTGTGATTTGTAATCTCTTCCTTATGAAATTAAAAGGAGTTTTATTTTTTAACACAATCTGATGCCATCTTTTGACTTAACTGGGCCATACTACGGGTTCTTCCCACTCAGAAAGTGAGGTCCATAAAGCTAGAGGTTGGAGAACTATTCCTTCGAGGTGGGCTTTCTCACCCACCCCTCCTTCTCTGGATAGACCTGATCATGTTGAAGTGTTATTTCCCTCTACCTGAGCTTCTCTAATTAAAGACTGGTTTATGGATCAGAAATATGGTCAGTGCATTACCACTGCTTGCTATGGAGAGTGTTTTGCATATGTGGGTTTTGATAATTACATTTTTTTATTCTGATAAAAGGAAATCAGCTGCTTAGATATAAAAAGAACCCATAATAATCTCCTATTCACAGAGCTGCAAATACTGACATTGGTTTATTCCATTGTTTAGACTTTCCACTTCCCTTCCCTGTCCATTCCCCTAAACCCATTTCAGTGGAAAATGGGCACATGGTGCATGAGGAAGACACACCTGCTGGGGCCCATAGGAAAGGCCTGCACCAACCAGAGGAACTGGGAGAATAGCCCCTGGGAAGGAAATCATGTGATTTGGAACAGTTCATTTAAAACATGATGGGGCAGGTAAGAAAAAGGGGAGAGAAAACAAAAGTCGTCTTTGCCTGGCTCTGCTCCTGCTGATTTTGCTACATCCTGCAGAGAGGGGTGTGGAAGTTAAAAGCATTTGTGTTGTCTTAGTCAAGCCTAGAACTGAAGCTACCCAACATCAAACCTGCCCGGTTGTCCAGGACCAGCATTTCCAGCACTTCCAGTTGTCCGTATCTGCACTTCCAGGAGTAAACAGGCAACTGAAATGCAAGTTGGTCAGCAAAAATCCTGGGAAACAAGTGCCTGGTAGAACAATGGCTAGATAAGAGGATCACTTCTGTGTCTGTATTACAGTGAGGTGTGAAATGTCACAACCCAAACCACAGGAGCTTTTCAAACCAAAATCATAGCTTGAACTGTAGTGAGCAGAACAGCATTCCATTAATACACACTTGTTACATTGCCAGTACACATGCAATTGCCTGCTCCATAAAGACATGCCAAATTTTTGAATATAGAAATTAAAAATTATTCCTAGCTGCTGTGGTTCAAAGTAGGTGTCCGTCCAAAATTCATATGTTGGAACTTAAAGCCCAAAGTGATGGTATTAAGAAAAGGGGGATTGGGTGTTGATCAGGCCACCTGGGCTCTGCCTTCTTGAACTAATGAGTGCGGTTTTTTTGTTTTTTTGTTTTTTTTGACAGAGTCTCGCTGTCGCCAGGCACCAGGCTGGAATGCAGTGGTGCGATCTTGGCTCACTGCAACTTCTGCCTCCCGGGTTCAAGCAATTCTCCTGCCTCAGCCTCCCGAGTAGCTGGGACCAGAGGCACACGTCACCATGCCCAGCTAATTTTTGTATTTTTTTAGTAGAGACCGGGTTTCTTCATGTTGGCCAGGATGGTCTCTATCTCTTAACCTTGTGATCCGCCTGCCTCAGTCTCCCAAAGTGCTGGAATTAACAGGCTTGAGCCACCGCGCCCGGCCAATTAGTGTTCTTATAAAAGAAGTTGGGATTGCTCTAGCACCTTTTTGCCTTTCCATCTCTTCTGTCATGGGAAGACAGCATTCCTTGTTCTCTTTTTACTCCTTCCTCTGTATGAGGATGCAGCAAGTATTGCCCACTTAAAGCAGGGAGCAGCCATCACTAGACACCAAATCTGTCAGCACCTGATCTTGGACTTCTCAGCCTCCAGACTGTGAGAAATAAATGCCTATGGTTTACAAATTTCCAAGTCTGTGGTATTTTGTTGTAGCAACAAAACCCAACACTAACTTTAATAAGCTTCTTCTCTTAATGTTCAATATATTATAATTATGTAATTAATTATCATTGGAAGAGTGTAATATTTGTAACATATTACTAAGGCAGACCAATAAAATGAAGAGTCTACCTGATATCACTTTTTGAGGCCGTTCAGATTCCACTGACCAAATAGAATAAAAATCATTGTAATAGTCAAGGTTCTCCAAAGAAACAAACAATAGAATATATATGTGTGTGTGTGCAATATACATGTGCACACACGTGTATCTCCTTACGTAATGTACATAATGTACTTACGTAATGTACATGTGCACTTACACACATATATATTCTTGGCAAGGTTAGGAGCAAAATTTGTACAACAGTTGAGTAATGTGGTGACTTGGCTGTCCTCTCCATATGAGTGACTTGTCACTGGCTGTGACATATACTAAGCTAAATCTAGATAGAAAAGGCTTTTAAGTAATATCAAGTTGATACATGGACTCTAATTTAGCATTTATTTCTCATTTGTCCAAAATTCATTTTTTCAGTCAGATGAAACAATGCTCAAGACATTGAAAGTCAATATGAGTTGATAGCAGGATTCCTAATTTTTGATCAAGTAAAATCCATGTTTTCATGTCTTCTCAATTCTTCTCAGACACTCTTGAGTTGGGAAGCATAAATAGTATTGAAAATGATGAGTTAAAAAAACTCTAGAACACAAATCCAGATATTCAGTTTTGTTGAGATTTCTTACTGTAATCTGTACTACATGGCATAGTTTAAATATATAACAGTTTTGCTATTGGAAATCTGGTAAGCTTCCCATATACCATATTATATATAGTATAGGTGTGTATATATGTGTATGTACATTACATATTTATATATATTATATATTTATATGATACATGCCATATATAAAAAACATATATAAACAGAACATGTCTCATATATAAAATGTATAATATATAATGTATAATTTTTTAAATGCATATAGATATTATTATACAAATAAATAAATATGTATAAAATATATACTTTAATATATAAATAAATAATATATATATTACAATGAATCTCTTTCTTTCATTTTATATATAATTTTGTATATAATTAGTATATAAAATTATATACTTATATATTTGTCTAATTATATTTTAAATAATTAAAATTATATTAATATATTTACTGTAAATCCATAAACATTTATATATGTGATTTAAATATAATTATTATATAAAAATAATATACAATTTATATAAATTGTATATTACATATAAATATAAATTGTATATAATATATACATTGCATATTATAATGTATAATTCTATATTACATATAAAAATACCAAATATGATTGTATATTTATATAATTAATGGGTACCTTATATATAATGAGAGATAGATATTTAGTGCAATATTATTTATATATATTTAATAATATACATAAAATTATTTGGATTATATATTTACACATACTATATAAATGCATAAATTATATATAATTACATATATAATTATATATTAATTCTGTTTTATGTATAATATATGACATTATGTATTAGATAATTATATATATTCATTAAATACAATATATACGAAATGAGAGGGAGAGATGCAGACAGAGAAACAGAGAGAGATTTATTGTAATAAATTGGCTTACATGATTGTGGAGTCTTGACAAGGTCGAAATCTGCAGGGTGGTCTGGTGGTTTAAAGAGTCAAGGAAGAGTTGGTATTGCAGCTCAAGTTTGAAGACATTCTGCTGGCAGAAATCCCTCTTCCAGGAAGTTCATCTTTTTCTCTTAAGGCCTTCCACTGATTGCATGAGGCCTACCCATGTTATGGAAAGTAATCTGCTTTACTCAAAATCTACTGATTTAAATGTTGATCTCATCTAAAAAAAAAAAAAAAATTCACAGAAACATCTAAAATAATGTTTGACCAAATATCTACATAGTGTGGCCTAACTAAGCTCACAGATAAAATTAACTGTGACAGTCACTTTCTCCAATGTAAGCTATTCTGATCTTGTTTGAACCTTCAAAGGCCAATTAACAATAGTCAGAGGCTAGGAAGTATTTGGAGCAGAGACAATGTCTTTAGTAATTAAAAAAAAAAATGAAATATCTATGGAGAGTTATTTGAAATTAGTAACACATTAAGAGCCTTTCCTAAAACAGGAAAAAACAAACAAAGAAATTAATTCCCTTGAGCTTTAATTCAGGTTTCTCATCTGTTTTGAAATATACCACTGTTCTAGGAAAATAATCATACCAATTCCTTCCTTGTAATTGACATATTTAATAAGATGTAGATAAATTATATAGGTGATAAATGATGTAGATAAATAATATAGGTGATAAATGATGTAGATAAATAATATAGGTGAAGATTCCATTGACTAATTCAAACTTGCTGCTTCTGACTTAGATAAAGAATGTGTGTTTTTTTTAATCTCAGAAATTGTTAAGAAACAGCTTCTGGAATTTGGAAATATAAAATATTTTTCTTAAGCCTTACTTTAAAAAGATACATATATATGTTTCACCTCTAGAATTTGCTTTCTATTTTTCTATGAAGATAGTTCGTCAGTGCTTGGTAGCATTAGTGTATGCAACCCAAAAGGCAGTTTTAGAATGGGGTGGTGACCAGACAGCAACTGTCCCAAGTGGTTCTCTAGGGGCCAAATATTTAAAACTCAAAGACTCCTGGGCTGGGATATAATTGAAGAATGGCACAAAATATTTGAAGTAGCCACATAAAACCTACCGTTCCAGAAAAGCTTCCTGGCTTTCATTTTCTTGTCAGAGATGTTTCCAGATGTATCAAAACAACTACAAAAGTAACTTGATTCTTCTATGCCTTATCTCCCTTTAAGTGCAGGACTTCACTACCCTGAGACTACACATTCTTTACAAAAGACATGAATCTGATTTCTGGAAATGAGAACAAAATATAATTGTAATGAATAATTTCTATTTATACTTTATTATTGGTGGCAAATGATTATTTCCATATTTTTTAGCTCTTATATCTTAGATCAATGAAATGTGTAAAGTAGTCATTTAATAATCATTTCAATTTGCTATGCTGAGGTTATGTTTATTCCTTCAACATATTGTGTAAACCATGTACTAGCTTTGTGGGGTACGCTGGAGATTCTGAGAAGAGTAAGACACAGCTTCTAACCTCAAGCAGGTCTTGTTCTAGTTGGATATGCAGGTGGTGCTATGGGCTAAATGTTTTTCCCATCCAAAATTCATGTTGTAACTTGATCCCTGATGCAACAGTATTAAGAGGTGAGACTTTTAGGTCACTGAGTCATGAGGGCTCTGCCCTCCTGCATGGAATTCGGTTCCCTTTTAAAAGGGCTTGACAGAGGAAATTTGCCCTTTTCCTCCCTTTAGTCCCTTCTATCATATGAGAGCACAGCACTCCTTCCCTTTGGAGGACATGACAGCAAAGTGCCATCCTAGAGGCAAACAGCAGCCCTCACTAGACAGCAATCCTGCCAGAGCCATGATCTTGGACTTCTTAGCCTCCATAACTAAGAAAATAAGCATCTGTTCATTCTAAATACTCCGTCTGTGGTATTTTGCTACAAGATCGCAAACAGACAAAAATGGTGGGTGAACAAATGTAGGTGTCATAACAGCCAAGACACAAAGGTGGGGGTCAAGTCTTCTTCAGAGAGTGGAGGTTATTGACAGTCCAAGTCAATAAGAAAGATATAAATTCTCCCTATGTCTACTGCATGGTCAGCAATAGATTTAGCCTTCCCTGTGTGTGGTGTTGCCCTCAGCTGTGAACAGTTTGACTCAAATTGAAGACATTTTTTGAGGTTTTCCTTCATAGCTGGCAGGCAATGGGCTACATGGACTATGGAGTCTGAAAGACAGGGCACCTCTCACAAAGCCTGACCGGAAGGGAAAATAGGAGGCAGCCAATGTAGAACCAGTGCCCGAAATGTGATCTTTAGGGAGCTGGAGCACTTTTTCCTACAACTATCTAACACAAGAGCTACCAACCTGGTACTCCTAGCTCAGTCATTCTTCATCTGAGGGTTGCTAAAATAGTGTAGGCCTTCATTGCATGTTATTTATACACTGATGCCTACTCCCAAGAATAATGTAAGCTTACTTGAAGTCACATATACAATATTACCACTGAAAGAATATATAATGTTTTAAAATAATTAAGGAGGTAATAAGTAGGTAGTTTAATCTAGTTTAATGCAACTGAGCATTAAATTTAGCTCTATTTTTACTGATAGTCAAAGAGAAAAGGAAAAAAGAAAGAAGATGGGGGAACAGGATGAGTTCACATGCTTTCATCAACATAAAAAGAAAATGAGCAATTTAGAAATGTCTTTTTTCTTCCTCTAGGAGAAAATTCAAAGAATATCGTGTAAGGATATTTCTATAAAGAGCGTTAAGTAATTCATAATAGTACAAAGGATGAAGATACATAAATACAGCTTGTGGGTGTTGGGGAGGGTATGAATTCCAAATAAAAGCTGAAGGCAAATTGTTAAAGTTTTTGAAAGGTCTTTCTACCGTGAGGCAACAAAGTGACAATAACTCCCACTATTAATGTTGACACTGTATTAGGGCTTTACATATATTTTCCCTAATAATGTTGGGAGGTACATACTACTGTTCTTCTAGAAGTTTCCTAGGGGACCTGTGAGAGATTGAGGATCTTGGTCATGTAAAGCTAAGACATGAATCTGGGTCTTTCTGGTCTAAAGTCACATTTTTTCCACTTTACTCATTCAGGCATGTAGCTTTCTATTGACTTGGTGTGGAGATAGAGGCAAAACAATATGGAAATGCTAGTTATCATGTTCCTATCTCTCCAAAAACTACTGTCCAGGTCCAACTTTTGATACAATCAAGAGAGCAAACAATCTGAGTTTGAGTTAACTGAAAAATGCTTGCAATATTAATATTTTGCAAAAAAATTCAAATGTTTTCTATACCATATATTTAAGAGACAAAACTGATTTTCTTTCACATGAAAATTAGAGCCAGATATAGACTTTCCAAGTCAAAGAGTAAATTATATCCTTGCACAAAAGTAGACTGTGGGGCTGGTGAGGATCAGGGCCAAAATTTTTCACAATAAAGCTTAAAAACAGCATATATCATTAAGGACTCATGCTTGAAAGTGATAGAAAGCCCAATTTGAATCCATAGTGAGAAAGATGAATTTGTTATCTCACAAAATCTAAAGAAGTAGTGAATATCTAAACCATGTGAAAGACATTGAGTTGGGTTTCAGGAACTGACTGTCTCAGGAAGTTGAATGATACCAGGTTTCTTTCATTTACTTTCTCTCTCTCACTTAATATTCTCTCTCTCTTCCCTGCCTCTCCTCTCTGCCAACTTTATCATACACTGAGTCAGTCTTTCTCTTTGTGGCAGGAAATATGATCACTGACACTTCCTAAGTTTTACATCTCAATTCCATTACAGGACAAGATTGCCTAACACACACCACATCAACTCCCCAGTAAACAACTCAAGGAATGCCTCTAATTAGAACGGCTTGGTTTGGTTACCCATCCTTAGAGCCCTCAATCCTTTCTAGGAGGCAGAGTTACAGTGGAAGGAGGAGTAGTTTCCAGAAAAATGAGTTGCTTTTTTTTTCAGAAGTAGGTAAGAGGTGGTTAGTAGACAAATAATAAATATTATTCCCAAGATTGTCTAGTCTCAGTGGCTTTTAAAAATGCAGACTAACAACTGTCAGTTTCTTCTATACAATAGAAAATAGTTTGCTTAATTGATGGATTAAACTTTTTATTTATCGGCTGGGCGCAGTGGCTCAAGCCTGTAATCCCAGCACTTTGGGAGGCCGAGGCGGGTGGATCACGAGGTCAAGAGATCGAGACCATCCTGGTCAACATGGTGAAACCCCGTCTCTACTCAAAATACAAAAAATTAGCTGGGCATGGTGGCGTGTGCCTGTAATCCCAGCTACTCAGGAGGCTGAGGCAGGAGAATTGCCTGAACCCAGGAGGCGGAGGTTGCAGTGAGCCGAGATGGCGCCATTGCACTCCAGCCTGGGTAACAAGAGTGAAACTCTGCCTCAAAAAAAAAAAAACTTTTTATTTATCAATACCTTATCTTCCTTAAAAAGAGATTTAAGATCTTTAAAATGCAACATAAAATACAGCAATAAGCTACAAATAAAATATGCCAATATATAATAAACTACAAATTATAAGAGAATGAGAAAGAAAAAACAAACATGGGAGCAAAAACTAGAAGTAGAAATGAGTTAAACGAAAGAAGCAATCATACTGTCATCTTGAGCTACAAATTTTGTTCTATGACAGGGAATGGAAAAAGGGAAATCTGATTGGTGACTCAATTCATGATACCCATAAAATGAAAACAAATAAATTTGTCTAGATAAGCCTGACTTACCTCCCTCACATTATCACCAGAAAAGAAATGTTGAAGCACTTTATAAAGCAGAGAGTGAGATATATAACATGAGTTCCACAGGAGGCTGCACAGAGAAATTATCAGTGCAAGTCCAGAGCATAATACCAAATAGATTTCAGGAACAATAATTCAGTAGGGGGTCAAAAAATATATTCTGGAGTTACATGTCTCACCGTTTAAGAGATTTAATTCAATGAAAGTTTTTATTCATGTACTCAATTAGCAATTTTTGTGGGGTACCCACTACTTGACACAGTGAGAAAAAAAGATGAAAGAAGAGATTATACGTATTTTCCCAAAGGAATCTGTGGACATTGTTTGCTCCCATTGAGTTTTTAATAGATAAACTTGAGTGACAAGGAATTCAAGAGTATATTCTCAAGGAAGTAGCTAGCAATTCTTCTATGTTGCCAGTTAAGCAAACAAGTATACAGCATCCTGC